TATAGTTATCCTGGTTTTCAAAAAAAATTTGTCTTTGGCTTTCTCACCTTTCGTTCAGTTTATACACCACTTTGTTAATTTGTTTAGTCAAACTCTTCAACAACATTAATCAATGATTTATTGTCATTTCAGTAATTATATACTAAAAGGAAACATGTAAATTGTCAATTATAACAAAATACAATTACAATAATAGGCTCTAAAAATTTACACGATAAGTCTGACAAATTTTTTGATAAGTTCAGCATGACATAAGAAGTTGACTCCTTATGACTACTAAAAAATAAATAGCAGCCCAATTTGATTGATGTCTTATCCAGCTCCAATTTCATGAAGGAATTGATCTAGACAATCACTCATTCAAAAACTTTGACGTGTTTGTTCTGATAAGGATTGAGAAATTTGAATCCCTAGGGAAAAAAAAGTTGTTTTGATATCATCACATCATTTGACATCATCTTGCATTAGTTTAGCACCTGTTTTACAACTTTCTATTCTAAGTCTAAGATCTGACTCGGTACTTTACCTTTCATCAAAATTCAAAAACTGATTGATCTCTTTACTTTTTTGTTTTACTCTTACTATTAAGGTCCTAAGGCTATCTAACCTTTTATTTTATGTTAAGTTCTGAACTTGACCGGTTTTCTTGGTACTTTTTGTCAAAATTTCTTTACTTTTTTGTTAAAGTCCAGAACTTGCTTGACACATTTCACTTTTTTGTCAAAGTCCAGAACCTGATTGACACATTTTACTTTTTTGTCAAAGCTTAGACCTGACTAGCACATTTCACTTTTCTGTCAAAACTCAAGACTTAGACACCTTTCACTTCTCAGTCAAAGTCTGGAACCTGACTGACATATTTCACTTTTCTGTCAAAACTCAAGACCTAATAGACACCTTCTACTGCTCTTTCATAACCCAGAATCTGACTGACACCTTTTACCTTTTGTCAAAATCCAGAACCTTACTCGCACCTTCCACCTTTTATCTTTGTGTTTAAGCCCAGTATTTGCTTGGCAATTTTTGTTTTGTCAAAGTTCAACATTGACTCACATTTTTGTTCAACACAAATCACCAAAAATTGTGACTCCTCTGACAGCCTCTCATATTATTTCACTTACAGCTAAATGTTCTAACATGTTTGTCTTTACTTTTCTTGTGTACCCTGTTTGTTTCAGACAAAAATTGATTCACTTCTTTACTTAGTTCTTATCAACTCCTGCTTGAAAATGTCTCTAACTGATATGAATTGAGTAAAGAGGGACAACTATGAAAACTAATTTTTGCTTCCTATGTATTGCCTCCAAATTTTTTTTAAGAATATATATATAAAAATAAAACAGTAAAATTGTTTTACAGTAAAATGAACAAACTTTGAAAAAAGGGAATTGGTTCCTAAAAATAGAAATCTTGTACTGTGCAGGTTTATACCCAATACCAAGAAACAATTTTATATATGAAAAGAGAAAAAACTTGAATTTGACATTTTGTTAAACCCTAAAAGTAAAAAATAAAGACTAGTATAAATGTATAAATGAGAGATCTGGACGGAGAAAAAAAGAGAGCAACACAATTTTTCTCTTACAAAAAAGAATTTTAGAGAGATCTGAAAGAAGAGAGAACAAAAAAAAGTGATTCTTCGGAACAAAAGATAGAAGGAGAAGAATTGAAAAGAGAAAAAAAAATTTTAGAAGAGGAGGAGGATAATATATATAGAGAAAAGAGCAAAAATAAAAATAAATAAAAGAAAGAATTTTAATCCATGAAGATTGATTATCTTTTGTTTAGCTTACTTTCATCCTCGACTTCTTGTGTTGAAGAAGTTCCTCCTCAGGTATGATAAATCTCTACTTATATCCTTAGTTTGCAGAGAACTGTATCTCGTTTATTTAGTAATGCCTCTCCCCGATATTATGCAACTTACTTAATATCATATAAAAACTATGAATATAACACGTAGTAACATTAATGTTCTGAGTTACTTTTGGCTTGATTCGACTAGCACACCATGATATGGCTTTTCGTTCTTGTTTCTAATGCTTTCAATATTCATTTATTCTGCGGCATGATATGTACATTACAATTATAATATTCATTTATTCACTTTTGCCAAACTTTTGTTTATTGTACCAAATTTTTTTACATCCGGCCAGCGACTCCACGTTGGTCTTTTTACCTTTTCTTGTTTATATATATATATATATATATATAAAATTAAACTTTATATTATTGTTAAAAAAATTAAAATACATATTTTAATTATTAAAAATATTTATATTCATAAATAAGTAGAATGTTATTTATATGTTAATATATTTTATTATTTTGTTTTTTTAAATTAGTCATTTTTAAATTAAAAATTTCTATAAAAAAAAGAATAATAAAACATTTATGTCTATTTTTTTTACTATTGTTATTTTTATGCTTTCATTTATTAATCATATATAATTTATTTAATTATTTTTTTATATATAAAAATAAAAAAAATTCAATTTATTATTATCTCTATTATAATACGTTTTTTTATTTGGTATTAAGGTCTCTATTTTTATTTTATTATTGTATAAAGTTAGCATAATTTGATTTAGATATTTTATTTAATTTATTTTATAATTACATAATAAATAAATACATAAATTATTATAATAATTTACAATATTAATGTGTAGCATCTCTACTGTTACATATTGTGAATCATTGAGACCTATATGTAGTAACGTTAATTTAAGTTTTATATACTATTAATATATATAAAAGATTAAATCTAACTTTTAAAATTAATTAATTACATGATTATTTTTATTTAATTAAAATGTATTATCTGATTAAATTTTTTTTTCTATTATAAAAAATAACTCATTTATTTAATTAGAATATTTTTATCATATTAGTGCAACGATTTATAGTGTTATTATGTAGTGTCTCTACCTCTATATGCTTTAAATCATTAAAAATTTTGTATATCTATGATACCTTGAGTCTTATTCAATATAAATTTATTAAATAAAGTCTTAAATTTTTTATTAAATAAATATTTTCTTTAATCAATTTAAATGTATTTATTTCTTTCATTAAGTTGAATTAATTTCATATTTTAAATTTTTTTAAGTCATATTTCTAACTTTGATAAATTAAATAACTAATACTTAATTACTTAATTTTATTTCTTCATCGATGTATAATTTACATTACTTTTAATTATCTAATCAATTATAAGAGATTTACGTATAGCTTATATTATCTTAAATTCTCTTTCAATATGAATCATAATTCAAATATAAATTTAAATATTTTATTTATAAATAAAAATATTTTTTAACGATTTGCAATATAGATGTGCGATCTTCTTTCGCTTTCTATGTTATTTTTCGTATGATGTACGTATAACCGCGTTATCTTGTATCATAAATATTAACCTTATCAAAATAATCTTAATCTCAAAATAAACTTTATTTTATTAAACTTAATTTTAATCAATAAACTTAATTTCAATCAATCAACGATTACATGCTCTACGCTATTGCAAAACTTTAAAACTTCCGTCATCGTTTGCCTATTAGAATGGGAAGATTTATTCGGCTAAGCTTATGACCCTCACTTGTATGGTAGAGTCTCCAACAATTGATGAATCAATACTTTTTGGTTTGTGTACGTTCTGCATCTTTTTTTTTTTCCTTGGTCCACAAACGTTCTGTGTCTTCTGGCATCGTAAAGTGCACAATCTTTCTTTTTGTCAACAAAAGTGCATTTGCCCAAATTTCCTTTTTCTTTTGTGTCAGTTGGGGCATGCATTAAAAGTCCCAAAGCCAGGTCCAAATAAGGCAATACAAGAAGGCCCAAGCCCACATGACTGCAAGATTGCACCACAAAGTGCATCAATTCTTTTGTTTTATTCTTTTATGCGAATCATTTTATTTTTATTTTTACTGACATGATTCAATAAAAACTAACATTTGTTAGTATTTCAATGAATTAGATTAATAATAAAGATTAAAAATTAAAGTTTAGAAAAAAGTACGAATAAAACAAAAGAATTCATTTAAAAGAACTAAAACTTAAAAATTCACAATGTGAGGACAAACCAATATTTATATATACAACATTTATATTTTAAGTAACCCGTGTGAAACAAGGGTAGTTGCAATAGTTTAAATAAAACTCATGTGAGTAATTTCTCAAGTAGAGAATGTAAAGTTCCGCTTTTTCCCTACAAGACGAGTCTCATATAATTTATAGTGGAACACATACACTGTTCATAACATATAAGAAAGAAAGAGCATGCAAGAAAAGTGATAATGAAAAATATTTTAGTTATGTAAGAAAAGGTGTTATAGAAAAAAATTGCATTTTTCACAGAATAATTGTTTGTCAATGATATTTTAAAGTTGTACACAGTTTTGTTGACGAAGATAGGAAACTGTAGATGACAAAAACAATTAGCCGCATGTGGTGTTATTAGTACTAGACAGTAGACAAGCTGATAAATGTATAGAAGATTTTTACATTTTGGACTACAAACATAACTGTTTTAGTTTATGTTCTTTGTTTACATTCATGCACTTCCCACAGTGGTTTATAGAGTGGGTTCAAGATCATCTTAGAATTATTTAGGTACATGTTACCTCAGGGCCGAATGCTTGCTAGAAGGGCTTAGTTAGCTGGGCCTAAAACATTAATGCTGGGTCGAAAATGATAAAGCATCTTTAGCTTATGAGGCACGTAATTTCCATTGGATAAATGGCCTACAACGAGAGTTCTCTATCATCAATATTATGTCATAGACCAAACACATTGCCCACAGGCTCAATTCCTGTCATGTGGTTTGTGAATGACTCCACGTGGCCATGCACCATATCACCATAACACGCTGGATACAATAGCATATGGTACTGTCTAATTTTGTGAGTATATATACGATAGTCAGTGATATCTCATTCAACACAACCTCGATCATAATTTGCATTGCACCTACAAAGCTCAAGTCCCTAGAAATTTCAACCATGATCAGCGCAAAAAGGCTTATTGAAATGGCAAGAAAGTGGCAAAAAATGGCAGCTGGAAAGCGTAGAAGAATTTCATACCCGAGACACCAAGTGGATGTGAATTCTTCAGCAACAAACAAGGGCCACTTCGTTGTTTACAGCGTCGATCATAAGCGATTCGTGGTTCCCCTCAAGTACCTTAGCACCAACGTCTTCAAGGAGCTTCTCAAGTGGTCCGAGGAAGAGTTTGGGTTACCATCCAACGGACCAATTACTTTACCTTGTGATAGCGTCTTCTTGGACTATGTAATATCGTTAGTTCAAGAACGCATCCCCGAAGATGTGGAGAAGGCTTTGATCGCTTCAATGGCTGCATGTCACCATGAGGCTTCTTCTTCTCATGATCTTAGACAGAGCAAAGAAAATTTCATTATTTATGGTTTTTGAAGCGATTTTGATACTTGTGTATACATATTTATAGATATAGATATTCTGAAGCGTTTATTCCTTGTTCTGATGCTTCAGAACCGGTTTTGTAGTTAAATATGAGAAGGAGTTGCAATTTCTCTCACCCATTCAATTTTAACTCCTTATAGATATAGTTGTAGTCACTGGTGATCTAGGAACCTGGGGTGCAAATTTTTTATTTTAAAAAATTAAAAGACTAACAATATCATCATCATATAAAAATAATTATATCAATAATAAAATTTTGATATTGATAATAAATAATAATAAAAAAATTACATATCTTACAATTATTCTATGCGTGATTTAATGTTTTGGAATCATTGAATGACTAGCTCATTATTAATGCTATTAAATATATCTCTCTCGATATAAGTTTTTAGACAATCATTTATCCAAGCATTTCCTATTCGATTGCGCAGCTAGTTTTTCACAATTTTCATAGTAGAAAAGACCCTTTCTACTGTTGTTGTGGCTACCGGTAAAATCATTGCTAACTTTAAAAGAAGATAGACAAGTGGATAAATGTCTTCTAATTTCAACCAACTTCTCTAAATGACTGGTGATTCCTTTCAAGGATGCAAAATCGACATTACCACACAGATCAATAATAAAAGTCTCAAGTTAATTATCAAGCATCACTAAAACACTTAAAGAAAACTCATGTAGATAAAACTTGGCAAATTCAGTTAGTCTTCTTTTATCAAAAGCAGAGAAGCCATTAGTTGGATTTAAACACGCTATACAAAGAAGCAACTGAGGATTTACCTCTGTGAAACGTCATTAAGTTCTTGAAGTTGCATGTCCACAACAGTATAAAATAATTCAACTCGATAGTGATGCTCTACTGTGACAACTTGAGCTTTGCGTCATGATCTTTCCTTGGACAAAAAAGTATCTTCCATATTAGGAATATGAATAGTATGCACATTACAGAATGAAATTACTTCAATAAAGAATCAAATCTACTATCCCTCATAGTTTGTAATCGTTCCTTTGTGATGTTAACCAAATTCATAGCATTGATTATGTCTTGATCTTTTCTTTGTAATGCTTGTGATAGTTCACTTGAAATAACCAAGACTTTTTTTCATCAAATGTAACGTGAATGCAAAATCAAAATCTTTTATTAAATATAAAAGACCATTGACTTCGGCTCTTTGATCTGTATTTGATCCATCTTCTTTTATAATTTCAGGAACATTAATGATTGAAGAATACATCAAAATCAAATTTATCAAAGTTCCATAATGTAAATCTCATCGAGTATTAGTAGCTCGTTTGACACTAGTTTCTTGATTCAAACCTTGCCCACTGAGAATTTCTCCTTTTTTCAATGTCTCTCTAACTTTGGGTATTTGTTTTTCACAAAGCATGTCATGTTGTTTGCAAGATCCTCCAACAACATTTAACAAATTGAACACTAAATTAAAAAGAAAGGCAACTTGAATGTATTTTTTGCAATGACAACTAGTGTAAGTTGTAATTGATAAGTAAAACAATGTACATAAAATGCAGATAGATTCTCCGTCAAGACTAATTAAACTTTTAAGATAAGAAAATTCACCTTGCATGTTACTAGCACCATCATACCCTTGTCCACAAATTCTTGACACACTAAGCCCATATTTGCAAAATAATTCATCAATTGCCATTTTCAATGATAAGATAGTAGTATCCTTAACATGCACCATGCCAACAAAACGCTCAACAATACTTCCACTTTTATTAACATACCGTAAAGTAACAACCATTTGTTCTTTATTTGATATATCACGAGTTTCATCAACAATAATAGCAAACAATTCTTCTCCAATATCATTAATAATAGCATTTGTGGTTTCCAATGCAGGAGCATTAACTATATCCTTTTGGATCAATTGAGCAATTAATTGATGATTTTTAGGTGCATTTTCTAAGATAACATGATTTATTGATTCATTATGATCTGCAAGAAACTTGAGAAGTACAAGGAAATTACCTTGATTAATAAAATTGATTGATTCATCATGGCTGCAAAATGCTAATTCTTGCTTCAATAGAAACCGAATGCAATCAATTGATGCAGTCAAATGTCTTCGGTATAAGTCACGAACTTATTCAGATTGCTTAGAAATTGCAACTTCAATATGTTGATTTTAATTCATCAAACCCTGACACTTCTTCCAAGCAATGTTATGAGCATTATTAGAACCTCCAACATGAGATGAGAGTGCTTCTTTCTTGTTCCAACTTATAAACCCCCTTGTGACAAATGTGTCCCCACTATATTGCTTTCCAAAATCAGGCCTGAAAAGATGACAACATAAACAAAATATCGCATCTTTCTCAATACTGTACTCCAACCAATTACTAAATTCATTAAACCAAGACGGAGTAAATCTTCTTAAAGAACTTCCAAATTTTCTTTGGAGAAAGTTATGTTGAGTAGGTTGGCAAGGTCCTCTTTGCAAATATCCTTTTTGAATCTTATCATGATCATTAGGATGATAGGTTAAAATTTTTATGCGCTTTCCTGGATCTTATGGCAAGTCTTCTAAATTGAACTCAATTTGTTGTGGTTGAGAACTTGATTCTTTAGGGTTTGATGAAGATTGTTACTCATTTGAAGGTAATTTCCTCTTATAAAAATTTTTCATGACCTATTTGAAATAATGAAGAAACAAACTAATCTAAATTCAATAATTCAACAATATTATAAAAAAAAGAAATTTAATATGATTCTTAAAATGTACAAGCAATGTCCTAAATAAAACATAAAAAAAAATTATACAACTACAAGTATAAAATAAATTACTTTTAAGGATGATAATTGTATCTAGTTTAAAAACAAAATGGATAGAAGCAAGTTTTTATTGAACATAGTTTAAATGATCATGATAATAAATTACTTTTAAGGATGATAATTTTTTAATATGAGATTAATAGAGTTTAAATGAAAAGATTAATTCTGCTTAGCAAACATTTAAAAAATATATATAGAAGCAAGTTTTTATTGAACAATGGCAGAGGAGAGGAGCAATCTAACTTATCTTAACTTGACTTTAATTTGAAATAGAAAATATAAAGAGTCGCAACCTATAACCTCTATTTCAGATTTTCAAAAAAAAAAAAAAGAATATTTAATTCAACAAATAGAAGAAACAGTAAGTCTTGACAATTTTGTGTAGATATTTACCATAAGTTAGGCTAATAGACAATAGAGATTCAGGAAAAGTTTATAAACTTATTAGAGAAAGAAAATAAAAAGAAAGTTTGCAAATGTGTTGGAAAAGAAAGATAAAAAAGTAAGAATAAAAAATTATTTTTAATTAATTTTAACTTTTAGCATGTTTCATCTGAAAGAATCATAAATTAATTTAATTTGAACTTAAATTTGAGCTTTAACTTATAAATTTAAAATTATAAAAGTAAAAAAAAATATAAAAAAATATAAAATTAGAAGATGTAAAATATGAAAAAATTATATTATTAAAAATAATTTATCAAAATTGAGGAGATGCATGTGTATAGATACGCCACTGATTATAGGGTCCTTAGTACTGTGTCCGTAAAAGTGCTTCCGTAGCATTCGTATTGGGACAAACCATCAAAGGAAATGTTTGTTGAACATTGAAGAAAGCACACCATAGGCCCTTGGGAACCCTCAGTGCTATCCCCCCGTTATATTAGTTTGACGTAACATGAGGAGAGAGAGAAAACATATAAATGAGTGTGTAAAATATAAAAATAGAATATAATTGTTCACATATATACTACATGATTTTATGGTAAGAAATAATCCAAGGGCATGATTAGTTTCCTTAAACTAACATCAATGTACCTGATTTTATGATTCCCTTCAAACTAAGCCTCTTAATTGTATGTTTACACGCAGTTAAATGAGTAATATTGGCTGTGGTTATCAGCGAATATTTCTATTTGTGACTAAAGCACGTTCTGAGTAAGCATCCCTATTAGATGAGGAATCTACCAACAAACAAAACATATTTTTTTTAATATACTATTTGTTATCCTGCATGAATTTTACGCATGCCTTATTAATAAAAACTACATCTAAATTATTTAATAACACTCATATGAAATTCACACAATTATAAAAACTCAATGACGAAATGGATTTGAAGAAAATTCAATATCGAGAAAACATTTTGGTAGACCATAACGTTGCTTGATTTTAACCAATGCACTCCGATTTTCTTCCTTTTTTTCTTATTAAGATATAATGGGTGATGTGATAAAAAAGAGAGACAACTGTTCAATAACCTTTTAGGAAAATTATAGGTTGACACTTTTTTTTTAGTGTGTAAAGTGGGCGGAGAGAACAAAATAAATAGATAGTCAAGAAAAAAATAGAGAGACATTAAAATACATAGTTGATGTTATAATTGAACAAAAAGAGAAAATATTAAAAAACGTGACAAAATATATGTATAAAAAATTAATTAATTAAAAATTAAAAGTTTCATCTATAAAATTGAAAGAGAAAGAAAAATGATTATTTTTTCCTTACACAACTTACTGTACTAAATATGGTTACGAGCTTAAATCATAATTAAACAATGTACAGATGAAATATAATTGCTTTCAAGTAAGTTAAAGTAAACATGTTAGTCACAAAATATGCCCTTCTTTTTTCATATAACATATATAAATACTTCATTTGCCCTCTTTACTTTTGGACACATAAGAATATATTCTCCTTTATTTTTAACAGTAATATTTTGTTGGCTCTCTTCAACAACTAAAAGCAAACGTCAATTAATTCAGCAAACATTAACACACACATATAGTAAGGATTAAAATATAATATTTATTTAAATTTTGAAATAAATAAAAACCTAAATAGTAATTAAGTTGTAACTATTTTTAAAAATGTTTCGTACGCTTAATCATTTTCCTTGTAGGGAAAATATGAAAAAGGTTCATGTTACCCCTCTTCCATTCACGATTATTCATTCACAAATACGTATTAGGCTTCACCTTGACAAACGGTAATATATGGTAGAGGAGCATAGCCCGGCACACACTGGAACAAGTGGATACCAATCTGACTCTATCCGTGCAATTATTTGAGCAGCGTAAGCCTCTTGAACTATTTTCTTGAGGGATCATCAACTTTTGATGCACTGAGAAAATGTTAACTAAAAAGGGTGATCAAATATTGAATTTACTCTATATTTTAATATTACTTTAAAGTCTAAATCACATTAAAAATTTAACTTATGAGGCAAAAGAATATTTTAATTTTTATAAAGTTTATTGAGCTATATATCTAAAATCATGTGAAACTTTATCACAACATGCAATTCTGATGCCATACACTTGCCAACCAATCCGGCCCCAACATGTCCGGTTTCCCTACCTTCTCAATTGGCCATCACCATAGTGACTATGCCTTGTCCATTAGTCGGCGAATGCCTACAAATTTCACAATTTAATGCATAAATATATGCTAGACCATTTATAGGCACTTCTCCATTAATGTTGAATAATAATAAATAATAATGCTTGTTTTTCTTATGGTTCATGGCCACATTCCAAGTCCAAACTTGTACCCTTCCATGCCAACTTGATTTGGGACAAACTGGATAAGTTTATTCCCTCCACAACGTCCATCCATGTAAATTCTACAGTACATTTTTATTGTACATGTCACACGGTTTCATTAATTTCAGCAGCATTGAAGACATTGTTTGTGGGCCTCTCATTATATAAGGAACCCACTTCTTATACCTTAGTTTCCCATATATCATATAGTTCATTATCAAAGGTACTAATAATATAAATGATTGGTACCAAGAAAATCATCCAAATGGCTAGGAAATGGCAGAAACAGACCACAAACCAAAGGAAGAAAATCCTATGGCTAAAGACTCAAGAAAATGCAAAAAAACAAGAAGATCACAGGGTGTGGGGAAAGGCAGAGAAGGGTCACTTTGTCGTATACAGCACAGATGAGAGGCGCTTTGTGCTTCCATTACTGTATTTGAAAAAAAATATCTTCAGAGAGCTCTTCAAGTTGGCAGAAGAAGAGTTCGGTCTGCGTAGCAACGTGCCCTTAACGTTGCCTTGTGAAGCCGCTGTAATAGAGTACGTAATAACGTTGACCCAGAGAGACGTAGCTAAGGATTTGGAGGAAGCTGTGTTAATGTCCATAACTCGTCGATGCCAATCATATTTGGATCTTCATCATCCACCAAATCAAATTTTGCTATGCAGCTACTAAAGAATTTGTATCGTACGTGATGATTTTACTTCATTTCATTTTTTGCTAACCTATTCATTGAGTTGATTTCATCTATCAATTTAGCCAATTTGACAAATGTAATAGTAGATGAGTTATGCATTCATCGTTGCAATACGATCAACTGTCACCAATTCTTGATATTTACTGGAAATCTCTATATAACTCGGGGATTGCTATGCTTCCCCAAAACTTTGTAGGGTATATATAGACACCCACCCTGCATATGTGGATTAATAAAATTTAAAATGTGAATAATATTTTCTCGCATCATAAATGACGTGGAGTTTAAAAAGTTTGTTTAAAACGCTTCTTTTCATACAAGCCTAAGTACATAAAATTGAAAAATTTAAATATCAAAATAAGCAAGGACAATCTTTGAATAATTTTAACAATATTTAAGATGTTTAATGTTGTTTCTAAGTTTTTACAAAGATTGACCAGATGAAACCTTTGCCTAAGAACTTCTACTCAATCTTTATATTTAATTTGCTTTTATTCATTAACATTTGAATATATTTTTTTCTAAATTGTAGATAATCTTATTTAAAAAAATTAATCGTAATAAAATTAAAATTTCAAATAAAATTTACATATATAACTTAATTAATAATAATTTTATAGGGTTAAGCAACAAGGTCAGTGTAAGATTACGTATATTAATTAAACTCTTTAGTTGTTAATGTAAGATTTTTACTTTAATATATATTAAAATTAAACTCATTTATATTATATTTTATATTACGTATCAAATCATATATATAGATAGATAAATGGATACTAACACTAGTACAAAAAAGTGAAGCTCTACAACAGATTATTACATTGATCACTAAGTAATGGATTTAATAAAATATGCACTGACATTTTTTAAAATATTAATAACTTTTTAACATTAGTTATAAAAATAATTGATATAGAAAGCAATTTGTATTTTAATTATTTTTAAATTTAGGAAGAAAAATAGAAAATATGTGGAAATTTTAGAAAAAAAATTTAGATAAATCTCAAAAAGTCATATGAAATAAATAAATAAAGCATAAATTAAAATCTTGTGTTGAAAGTTATATAATTTTAAGGTTTACGATAAAACAATTAATATAAAAAAATTTTTATATTGTTTATTTCTGAAATCGTGAATCAATTCAAAATTAAATATTTCAGAAGCATGCGTCACTAAAATCATATAAATTGAAGATAATAAATATAAACTTTTACTTACATTCTCAAGATTCTTAAAAGTTTTTGATTGTACCATTGATAAGTATCAAATTTTAGTAAGTTTTTACATGAATTTGAACATTTATTGACTTTAGATTACAATTTTGTTCTAATTTAGAAGAATTTGAATATAAGTAGTTTATTGTACTTAGAGATTGAGATGAGAATTTTTTTTATTTTTTATTTTTTAAATTTATTGATTTATAAGAGTTTAATGAGGATAAAGGTAAAGGAGACTGAAAGAATTAACTTTGATCCAATTTTGATCAAGTGAGAATTCCTTACTTGAGGAAGAATGTGTGAAACAAACTTGAGTCTCAGTCTAATTTTTGATCAAATAAGAACTACTTGCTTAAGTAAGAATGCCTTTCTAACTTGAGCAAGAATTTTTAACTTGAGCAAAAATTCATTTATTTTGCTTTTAAAGAAAGGAGAATAAGAAAGAAATGAGAATATTGGAAGCGAGAAAGCAATTCAACAAGTGGAAGGCTAGAGCATTTATTGGAGAAGATTGAGGAACCTCTCTATATTCTTTATCTTTCTTTCTCTTGTTATAAATCGATGCTACGAGCGACTAAACTTTTTCTGGGATTAGATGTAATTTTTTAATTTTGAAATATTTTGATGATTTATATATAATTCTCAATTTTTATAGATGTTAGTGATTTTATTTTATTCTTAAATCTTGATTCTATTTTAAATAATAGTGTTTTAATTTAGCATCCAAGGTTTAGTTAAAAAATAAACTTTAGAATCGGATTAAATGAAACTTCACTTGGTATATTATGATGCTAGAGATAAGTTTTAATATATTAATTTTTTCTTAACTTTTGTTTATAATGCTGGAAGATTCATTGAATATTTGAGGAATCATTATTTATTGAATATTCTTAGAGACCTCGTATTTGAGGAATTAATATTATGAAACATTAAGAGAGTGCATATATTTCTATAGAACAATTTCTAAATATTTATTCATCAAAATATGGAAGAGAATAAATGATGAAATTTAATCCTAGCTTAAACGCTAATATTTTTATATCATAGTAAATTTTAATCTTTAAATTTATAAAATTCTCACCCCATGAACAATGTCCAAATATTAATATTTTTTGTTATAAACTTTAATTAAGATAGTATAAATTATGAATGCATCTACCAATTTCTGTGAATACGACACTCATACTCATTTATTAAAATAAAAGCTTGGTATGCTTGCTAAAATCTCAACAAACATTGACAAACATGAACTCTTATCAAATGTATAAATGATTTTATCTTACTTCATTTTATGTTTTCTTCTCCATTAGTTAACCTATTGATACATGATATTGACGAACATTGCATATTTTTTATTTACAGACTCAACAAAGATTATCTTACTACATTTTGTATTTTCTTCTCTATTGACCTATTAGTATATGACATTGACGAATATTATATATTTTTCATTTACAAACTCAATAAAGATGATGAATAATGTATATTATTATTATTATTATTGATATAACAAAGATTAAATTATTAGTAAATATTGACAAATGTTGATGAAAAATGTTAATAACAAACGTAAACAACATTGACACTATTAAAAATTTATTTGTTATTAATAAATATTTTTTTCTAAATTAATACCGTTAATAAATAAAAATACTTTCTGAATAATCGATATAACAAATCAGAACTTTTTGTCTGATGAAAAAGCCTTAAATTTTTTTCATACGATGGTATTTATATTAATTTTTTAATCGACGTTAACAGTTTATTATAAATTAAAACTAACCAACAAAAATTATTTTATTTATAAATTTTTTATAAATATCAAATTTATCAATTTATCTAGTGATACGTATTAACGAATATCAAGTTTGAGATAAACTAGATATATAATTTCATAATTAATATTTATTTGTATTTTAAAATTATATATCAAACGTTAATCGAGTTTTTATGGACTGAAAAATAAAATAAAAATCACATAATTGATTATAATACATCGGTATTTTAAAATGAATAAATAAGCTGGGTCAAGTCCTCCACGAGAGCAAATTGGTTTCAATTCAAAATGAAGCGAACTTTTACACATTTTCCATTCCCATATACGAAAATAACATTAAATATTTGTGTCGTGCTTACCTTAATAATTTGATTATCACTTTAATAGTTAAATATTGTTTCTTTTTTAGAAAAAAAGGGCCTTTGAATAAGAAGGCGTTGCGACTAATTTAGATTAGGTTATTTGCACATACCTAGACTTGGCAATAGCTGCATTAATTTCGCCTTTTGCAGCTTTGTTAACAGTTGTGCTTCTGGAAGTAACTTTAATCTCAAATTCTATAGTGGTGCAATGTGTCTAGAAAAGGTTGTACATGTAATCATAATCTCCACAAAGGCTTAGATTTCAAACGAAAATACGATATGATATACCCAATGCCACAATGGATTCACATTGTGCAATGGACAATGTTCCGATACTGAAACAATTAATCCAATTGGTTCCCTTCCGGACTTTTTCGCAAAACGTCCAAAATAGCTATAATGTCTATTTGGAAAAAAATTTATACAATACAGGTCAATTTTTTCTTTTAAAAAACTAATATTTTCCTATAATAATATTTTTCTTTATTTTAATAACTTTTTATAAATTTCATTAAATAAATATTTATTTAAAAATTTAACTAAACTCGCTAGATAGTTTAATTCTATTTATTCTTTAAATACAGTAACTATTGTATACTATTTTTTCAATCACCCTTTATTAAGATATCACACATTAATTAGAAAAAGTCAGAATATTATTTATAAGAGCTAGGACAATTTTCTTTTAATGAGTTAATTTTTTAGAGTAAATTAAGTCAAATTTTTTAATATTATATTAGAATTTAACTAGTTTAAATATTAGGTTGCTCAGATGTCTAGTCTCAAATAAAAAGAATATGTTAAAATATCTTACATTATTTAAGAGAAATAGAAGCATAATATTATATAACTTTTAAGAGTGAATTAAACCTAAGTTTCTTAAATCTCTTTTTAATCCATTAATTAACAAGGAGAAATTAATGTATATTATTAATACATTATTTAAAAAATACTTTTAGCCCAGGATGTTTTAAACCTTGCTATTTGATTTTAAATAATTCATTTTATAACAAAATTGTAGATTAGTTTTAAAATCATTGAAATAATAATACACAGTAAGCCTTATTTTTAATTAATTTTAAAATTTTTAAAATTACATATAGAATGTACTATTAACCTTTGCTTCTTAAGACAATTGCTTAAAAGGCTCTCATTTTTAATTAAAAAATAATCACAACGAGTTAAATTATAAAATTAATTTAGAATTAACAAACTTACAAAAATATATAACATGTAGAAAATAATTTGTTATAATAATGTCAGAATTATTATTATTATTATTATTATATAACCAATGGAAGAAGATTACGATCCTGTATCAAATTGAGTAAAATTTTACATTTGATATTACTTTAAAAAAAATTATACAAATTTAATCATTGACTTGTATAGTGTTATCTTAATAATACTATATATTAAATTTTTAATTATTTAAACATATATAAATATTTTTATATTTTGAATAACATGTCATATATTAAAATAAAATAAAAATATCAACTATTTCTTAACTTGTATAATTTATTTTATAATAATTTTAAATTAAATGGTAACATTGATAATTTTTTTTTTCTTAATCAGGTTGAAAGGGAAAATAATTTTAATTATCCTACAATAAATAT